ACAAGTCACCTGATCAACCAAGTAAAAGTATGAAAATGACCACATGGTACAATTAGATAGCCAAATGATACTATCAGACAGTCACATGATACAAAGAAACAGTCACATGACAAGTCACATGATACAACAAAATTGACAGATGACATCATGAAAAGTTACGATTCAATAAGATCATTACATAATACAATTAATAGTCAGATTACAACAAAATGGTAGCATAACACACTCAAATATCCAATATAACAGTAACATTACAAAGACCTGAAGTTTCTGTTTCTCCATCAATCACACATCAAAAGCTAAGAAGTTGTTTCATGAAATCATCAAATAACACAAAGTCAAGTTATGTTAACAATAGATATAACACACATGTATGTAATATATAGAATAAGTGAAATACTTCTCCATGTGAAATTTCAACATAACACAGAACTCTATTATCACCAGTATAATCAGTAACTGGCCTCACTGGAATTTATAAGAAATTCTTACAAGGAAATCTGAGACTTAACCAAGTAAGGACTTCTATTCCAAAAATCGCTCCATGTGAAAAAAAAAGTTATTCAATTTTATTTTTATTTCATTGTGAAATTCTAGTCTCAGAGATAATGTCTAAGAATAAAGAAAATGATTAAATATGAAATATAGGTGAGGTTATAAAGAGACTTTGTAGAAATATCAGCAGGCATTAATCCTCTTGGTGATCAATGATCATCATTTATCAAAGATCAATTCTAGTTATGTGAAATCAGATTCCACTTCACAACAAAATTTGATGTGCCTCATGTATGCTATACCATGTTAAGGGAATGAACTTTGAATGGCTAACATGCTTGGTTATAAATTTGAGATGTTTTTCACAGTTTGAGAACAGAGTAATTACCTCTACTCCTGGGTGGCCATCTGTTCTACTCAACATCTTTAAGAAGCTTATCGTCAGGCTTCATTTACCAATATATACAGCTTTGATTCAATCATTCAAAAGATCATGAATTCAACTTTAAATTTCGTGAGATCATAAAATAGCCCAAATAAAGGTGTTCGAAAGCAAAGCAAGTGTATTTTCTATATAAGATAGCTGTTTACAATGAATGTTCTGATAGGTCAGTCATCCCAAGTCATCTTCCTCTTTTTTTTTTTTTTTTTTTGAACAGCATGGGCGAATAAAAGGATCCAATACATTAATAGCATTACAGGTTGATAGATGTCATTTCCACTGTACATAGAATATTCACACAATCAACAATATGGTATGTATATTCAGCAGAATTTCTGCTAACACTTTGGCAGCTTTCGTCCAAAGAAATGTTTTTACTAAAATGTTAACCTTACATTTTATGACCTCTAAAAACAAGATATTTTTACTATCTAGTAAAGCAAAGATGTTTAAACCTCAAATGTACCCTGCTGTTACAGTATCTATATGCCTTATCTATTTCCATAAGTAAACTTTTAAGTTCAATCTGGATAAATGGACAAGAGCCTTGCAACCAAGCAGAAGTTGTATGACCCTGTTGTATGAAGCTGTAAGGAATGCAGGTGTGAAGAGTGCTCTTGAAGTACCCTCAAGTACAAAGCTTAGTGTATATGTAGGTATATGTAGACTTAAATTACATGACCCTTGGGTGTGAAGCTGAGTGAAAGTCAGAGAAGACATTTGTGATCCTTTGAAAGAGAGGTGAGTGTAGGTCTTGCTGAATCTTGGGTATAAAGCTGAGTGTTAGTCTGCATGAGAAAACTACATAACCTTGTCTTGGAAAGTGGAGGACTGCGGGAGAAGACTTATTGACCCTCAGGTATAAAGCTAGTGTCAGTCTGAGAGAGTAGACTACATAACCTTGGGTAGGGAAGTGGGTGTAGGGCTGCGGGAGTAGAATTATTGACCCTCAGGTATAAAGCTGAGTGTCAGTCTGAGGGAGTAGACTACATAACCTTGGGTAGGGAAGTGGGTGTAGGGCCGCGGGAGTAGACTTATTGACCCTCAGGTATAAAGCTAGTGTCAGTCTGAGGGAGTAGACTACATAACCTTGAGTAGGGAAGTGGGTGTAGGGCCGCGGGAGTAGACTTATTGACTCTCATGTATAAAGCTGAGTGTCAGTCTGAGGGAGTAGACTACATAACCTTGTGTAGGAAGGTAGGTGTAGGGCTGCGGGAGTAGACTTATTGACCCTCCTTGAGGTAGACTACATAACCTTGAGTAGGGAAGTGGGTGTAGGGCTGCGGGAGTAGACTTATTGACCCTCAGGTATAAAGCTGAGTGTCAGTCTGAGAGAGTAGACTACATAACCTTGGGTAGGAAGGTAGGTGTAGGGGTGCGGAGTAGACTTATTGACCCTCAGGTATAAATCTAGTGTCAGTCTGAGAGAGTAGACTACATAACCTTGGGTAGGAAGGTAGGTGTAGGGCTGCGGGAGTAGACTTATTGACCCTCCTTGAGGTATAAAGCTGAGTGTCAGTGAGGGAGTAGACTACATAACCTTGTCAGTGAGAGAGGACTACATAAGGTAGGTGTAGGGCTGCGGGAGTAGACTTATTGACCCTCAGGTATAAATCTAGTGTCAGTCTGAGAGAGTAGACTACATAACCTTGGGTAGGGAGGTTGGTGTAGGGCTGCGGGAGTAGACTTATTGACCCTCCTTGAGGTAGACTACATAACCTTGAGTAGGGAAGTGGGTGTAGGGCTGCGGGAGTAGACTTATTGACCCTCAGGAATGGAGCTGAGTGTCAGTCTGAGGGAGTAGACTACATAACCTTGAGTAGGGAAGTGGGTGTAGGGCCGCGGGAGTAGACTTATTGACTCTCAGGTATAAAGCTGAGTGTCAGTCTGAGGGAGTAGACTACATAACCTTGGGTAGGGAGGTAGGTGTAGGGCTGCGGGAGTAGACTTATTGACTCTCAGGTATAAAGCTGAGTGTCAGTCTGAGGGAGTAGACTGACCCTCATAACCTGAGTGTCAGGGACAATATATATATGGTTCTCATGTAGGGCATCAGCGGGAGTAGACTTATTGACTCTCATTGGGTATAAAGCTAGTGTCAGTCTGAGGGAGTAGATTACAGACCTTGGGTAGGGAGGTATAGGTGTGAGGGCTGCAAGACATTGGGTAGATATATATATGGTCTCATGTATACAAGACTGAGAGGGATAGGTATAGTCTGAGGGAGTAGACTACATAGACATTGGGTAGAGGGATAGGTATAGGTCTGAGGGTGTAGAATTACAAGACATTGGGTAGAGGGATAGGTATAGGTCTGAGGGTGTAGAATTACAAGACATTGGGTAGAGGGATAGGTATAGGTCTGAGGGTGTAGAATTACAAGACATTGGGTAGAGGGATAGGTATAGGTCTGAGGGTGTAGAATTACAAGACATTGGGTAGAGGGATAGGTATAGGTCTGAGGGTGTAGAATTACAAGACATTGGGTAGAGGGATAGGTATAGGTCTGAGGGTGTAGAATTACAAGACATTGGGTAGAGGGATAGGTATAGGTCTGAGGGTGTAGAATTACAAGACATTGGGTAGAGGGATAGGTATAGGTCTGAGGGTGTAGAATTACAAGACATTGGGTAGAGGGATAGGTTTAGGTCTGAGGGTGTAGAATTACAAGACATTGGGTAGAGGGATAGGTATAGGTCTGAGGGTGTAGAATTACAAGACATTGGGTAGAGGGATAGGTTTAGGTCTGAGGGTGTAGAATTACAAGACATTGGGTAGAGGGATGGGTTTAGGTCTGAGGGTGTAGAATTACAAGACATTGGGTATAGAGGTAGGTATAGGTCTGAGGGTGTAGAATTACAAGACATTGGGTAGAGGGATAGGTATAGGTCTGAGGGTGTAGAATTACAAGACATTGGGTAGAGGGATAGGTATAGGTCTGAGGGTGTAGAATTACAAGACATTGGGTAGAGGGATAGGTTTAGGTCTGAGGGTGTAGAATTACAAGACATTGGGTAGAGGGATAGGTTTAGGTCTGAGGGTGTAGAATTACAAGACATTGGGTAGAGGGATAGGTATAGGTCTGAGGGTGTAGAATTACAAGACATTGGGTAGAGGGATAGGTTTAGGTCTGAGGGTGTAGAATTACAAGACATTGGGTATAGAGGATAGGTATAGGTCTGAGGTGTGTAGAATTACAAGACATACAAGACATTGGGTAGAGGGATAGGTTTAGGTCTGAGGGTGTAGAATTACAAGACATTGGGTAGAGGGATAGGTTTAGGTCTGAGGGTGTAGAATTACAAGACATTGGGTAGAGGGATAGGTTTAGGTCTGAGGGTGTAGAATTACAAGACATTGGGTAGAGGGATAGGTATAGGTCTGAGGGTGTAGAATTACAAGACATTGGGTAGAGGGATAGGTTTAGGTCTGAGGGTGTAGAATTACAAGACATTGGGTAGAGGGATAGGTTTAGGTCTGAGGGTGTAGAATTACAAGACATTGGGTATAGAGATAGGTTTAGGTCTGAGGGTGTAGAATTACAAGACATTGGGTAGAGGGATAGGTTTAGGTCTGAGGGTGTAGAATTACAAGACATTGGGTAGAATTACAAGACATTGGGTAGAGGGATAGGTTTAGGTCTGAGGGTGGGTATAGGTCTAGGTACAAGACATTGGGTAGAGGGATGGGTTTAGGTCTGAGGGTGTAGAATTACAAGACATTGGGTATAGAGGTAGGTATAGGTCTGAGGGTGTAGAATTACAAGACATTGGGTAGAGGGATAGGTTTAGGTCTGAGGGTGTAGAATTACAAGACATTGGGTATAGAGGTAGGTTTAGGTCTGAGGGTGTAGAATTACAAGACATTGGGTAGAGGGATAGGTTTAGGTCTGAGGGTGTACAATTACAAGACATTGGGTAGAGGGATGGGTTTAGGTCTGAGGGTGTAGAATTATGTGACCCACAAGAGAGCTATGTGTTGGTATGAGCGAGAAGAGTTACATAACCATTGGGTATAAATCAGAGTGTCAGTCTGTGGCAGCAAGACAGCAAAATGTACTTACATGACTTTCTGGATTGGAACTGTACTGAGTATGAGTCTGAGGATGAACGTGATGTCCCGTCAGATATAAGGCACCGTTGTGGTCATGATGATGGTGAATATAACCATGGCAATCTGAAACAATGGAGTATAAACATCTGTTTTCTGAAACTGATACATCATGTCAATCACAAATACAATCTTATATCAACAACATATCTGAGTACATGGCATCATATTAATCAATAGTATTGGACTAAGCCTTGACAGCATCTTAAAAGCCTTAATCTGGATGAAATATTGATATGTTCTTATGATTCCTGGTCAATTAGAATGTATATAGTAGTAAAAACACATACAGTCCATAAACAGCCATATCAATGAAATATCAAAACATAGTGTTTCATCATTCAACTATAAAAAAATAAACAGTTTCATCATTCAAATATCAAGATAAACAGTTACATCATTCAAATATCAAGATAAACAGTTACATCATTCAAATATCAAGATAAACAATTACATCATTCAAATATCAAGATAAACAGTTACATCATTCAAATATCAAGATAAACAGTTACATCATTCAAATATCAAGATAAACAGTTACATCATTCAAATATCAAGATAAACAGTTACATCATTCAAATATCAAAATAAACAGCTTTGTCGTATAATATCAAGATCAACAGGTACCTAAATCATCCTTGTATCAAAATGTATAGCAGCATAATCAAAACCACGAAAATAAACTGCTGCAAATCATCAAGATATCAAAATGAAATGCTACATCCTCAAGATATCAAAATGAAATGCTACATCATCAAGATATCAAAATGAAACGCTACATCATCAAGATATCAAAATGGAACGCTACATCATCAAGATATCAAAATGGAATGCTACATCATCAAGATATCAAAATGGAACACTACACCATCAAGATATCAAAATGAAATGCTACATCATCAAGATATCAAAATGAAATACTACACCATCAAGATATCAAAATGAAATGCTACACCATCAAGATATCAAAATGAATTACTACATTATCAAGATATCGAAATGAATTACTTCATTATCAAGATATTAAAATGAATTGCAAAATCATCAAGACATCAAAATGAAATAAATTGCTACATCATCAAGATATCAAAATGAAATAAATTGCTACATCATCAAGACATCAAAGTAAATTGCTATTCCATTGCAATATCAATGGCTACATCATTAATACTGAATTACAATACCATTCTAACATCTAAATACAAGAGTATACCATGCCAACCTGTGTAATCGTCGAAGGCATCACATCATGATAATCTCCAAATGTCTTGATACATCATGACAACAAACTAAGCTCATCTGTATCTAATGACAACAAATATCAGAAAACTCAGCAAATTGAAACTCCGGAGTAGATTTAAAATCTTCTGGCTGCAATCAACACTAGTGCTGTGTGACAGGCCTTAACAGGGATAGTGGCACTGGAGCACACCTACCCCATACACTTGGTAATCGATGACGGGCTGATTACGATAACTCAATCACCTATTCATAGGAATAGTGTGTACAACTGACACAGTGAAAGCCATCAGTGTAGATGAGGTAGACAGAGGCAGAAGTCTCTAGCTCACATCCTGTAGATGTTTTGTAACTCCACAGTATTACATAGATCTCCCTCAGACTACACACAATACAACCAGGACCAATAACGACAGCCTATCCTAATGTTTTGCCTATATATATGTATGTATCTCCTGTAGTGTTCAATAAATAACGAGAACAAGTATTAGAAATAGCTCACAGCTATCATCTAGTATAAGTGTGAATAAAGCCAGAAATTACACAGATTACATTCTAACTAGCCTGTGAATATTAGGAATATATGGATCATATGAAAGTACATAAACCTCCTCCTCTCTCAAGTGTCTGTTTCCAATTATAGTTGGTGGCTAATGCTACACTCCCAATCACATAAAAATCATCTAAGAATTTTACCTTTTTCATTTTTCACACTTGTATTCCCATACCATCTGCCATGCCACCTCCCAGATGTTTGAATGTAGTATATGTTATCAAGTCTAAAACATGATCCTCAGGTTGTCTTGTAAGATGCTTTGGCAATTAACTACAAGGCTGTGCTACCTCAAATGATTGCCTGCTGGTTTATCTAGTACACACAACTTAAACAGCCTTCTAGAAATATCAGCAGTTAAACTACCAACACTTAAGTAATGCTTGGTTTTTCTATAAATATGAAACTCTGTGTTTTTTCTAGTAACACAAAAATTTATCGAGTAACTACACAGAACTACCATCACTAGAGAATGTCTGGTAATTTATCTAGTAACACAGAACTACCATCACTAGAGAATGTCTGGTAATCTATCTAGTAACACAGAACTACCATCACTAGAGAATGTCTGGTAATTTATCTTGTAACTACACAGAACTACCATCACTAGAGAATGTCTGGTAATTTATCTAGTAACACAGAACTACATCACTAGAGAATGTCTGGTAATTTATCTAGTAACACAGAACTACCATCACTAGAGAATGTCTGGTAATTTATCTAGTAACACAGAACTACCATCACTAGAGAATGTCTGGTAATCTATCTAGTAACACAGAACTACCATCACTAGAGAATGTCTGGTAATCTATGTAGTAACACAGAACTACCATCACTAGAGAATGTCTGGTAATCTATCTAGTAACACAGAACTACCATCACTAGAGAATGTCTGGTAATTTATCTAGTAACACAGAACTACCATCACTAGAGAATGTCTGGTAATTTATCTAGTAACACAGAACTACCATCACTAGAGAATGTCTGGTAATTTATGTAGTAACACAGAACTACCATCACTAGAGAATGTCTGGTAATCTATGTAGTAACCCAGAACTACATCACTAGAGAATGTCTGGTAATTTATGTAGTAACCCAGAACTACATCACTAGAGAATGTCAGGTAATTTATGTAGTAACACAGAACTACCATCACTAGAGAATGTCTGGTAATTTATGTAGTAACAAAGAACTACATCACTAGAGAATGTCAGGTAATTTATGTAGTAACACAGAACTACCATCACTAGAGAATGTCTGGTAATTTATGTAGTAACCCAGAACTACCATCACTAGAGAATGTCTGGTAATTTATGTAGTAACACAGAACTACCATCACTAGAGAATGTCTGGTAATTTATGTAGTAACACAGAACTACCATCACTAGAGAATGTCTGGTAATTTATCTAGTAACACAGAACTACCATCACTAGAGAATGTCTGGTAATTTATGTAGTAACACAGAACTACCATCACTAGAGAATGTCTGGTATTCTATCTAGTAACACAGAACTACCATCACTAGAGAATGTCTGGTAATTTATCTAGTAACACAGAACTACCATCACTAGAGAATGTCTGGTAATTTATCTAGTAACACAGAACTACATCACTAGAGAATGTCTGGTAATTTATCTAGTAACACAGAACTACCATCACTAGAGAATGTCTGGTAATTTATCTTGTAACTACACAGAACTACCATCACTAGAGAATGTCTGGTAATTTATCTAGTAACACAGAACTACCATCACTAGAGAATGCCTGGTAATCTATCTAGTAACACAGAACTACCATCACTAGAGAATGTCTGGTAATCTATCTAGTAACACAGAACTACCATCACTAGAGAATGTCTGGTAATTTATGTAGTAACACAGAACTACCATCACTAGAGAATGTCTGGTAATTTATCTAGTAACACAGAACTACCATCACTAGAGAATGTCTGGTAATTTATCTAGTAACACAGAACTACCATCACTAGAGAATGTCTGGTAATCTATCTAGTAACACAGAACTACCATCACTAGAGAATGTCTGGTAATTTATCTAGTAACACAGAACTACCATCACTAGAGAATGTCTGGTAATTTATGTAGTAACACAGAACTACATCACTAGAGAATGTCTGGTAATTTATGTAGTAACCCAGAACTACATCACTAGAGAATGTCAGGTAATTTATGTAGTAACACAGAACTACCATCACTAGAGAATGTCTGGTAATTTATGTAGTAACACAGAACTACATCACTAGAGAATGTCAGGTAATTTATGTAGTAACACAGAACTACCATCACTAGAGAATGTCTGGTAATTTATGTAGTAACCCAGAACTACCATCACTAGAGAATGTCTGGTAATTTATGTAGTAACACAGAACTACCATCACTAGAGAATGTCTGGTAATTTATGTAGTAACACAGAACTACCATCACTAGAGAATGCCTGGTAATTTATCTAGTAACACAGAACTACCATCACTAGAGAATGTCTAGTAATTTACGTAGTAACTAAGAGTGTATTGACTGTCTCCAATTATAGGTTATATATGGTGTTTCTTCCTGTACCAGTACTGATGTTGACATGTTTAGGATAGAAACATTCACCTGACCAAGGTTTGATCCTGTCATTAACTAACAAAGATAGTCCCATCTCTATCATTATCAAAATTTTTACCTGTGCGATGTAAACAAAGATCATTCAAGCATGCAGCAATGATACATATTTAACACAGCAACAGACAATTGCTGTAGTGTATTGAAAAGAGCATATTGACAACAAAATATATATAAGTGCCCTTTAAGTCTAGCCCAGTTAAACTAATGACAGCCTTGCCTAGAGCGAAAGTCGACCTACATGGTTTATGTACCTGTGTAACCTTGTCCAGGGAAAGTTTGTTATTCCCAGTAAAACAAGTAGGGGTGGTATTGATTTTCACATTCTAGAGTATACCCAGAGCATGTAGGATACACATATTCCCATCAGACCTTTGTCATACAACACAGTGTACACACTCCACTGAAGCGAAGGTTTCAACTTTCATTTTTGTTGTGATCTGAATTATTTATTTTCCAACACCAAATGTACTTGATTAATATTCTGTATTCTAGACATGATATCTAGACAAAGAATTGTTAGAAATTATGATGAAAATGTATTTTCACATATAATATTATATAGACATTAAATATATTCATTAAATTTAACTACTCTCCTTGCAAACTTTCCTTTAAAAGGAAAGTATTTAATACATATCTATTCATATGGATAATGACTGAAATAAAGGGAAGTTTAAATAAATTAATGTAATGACCCTAACCACAAAAATTCATAGCTCTGACAAAACCACAACGATTTTCATATCATAGTTTAAACTGCAGTATACACATATATGATTTTTATATGGTGATGATTCATACCTTACAGAAACTCCCACACCCTCTTCCAAAACACTTGTCAGCTTAACGTATAATATAAAATAATAATATAAAAGTTTTCCATCACCAAATATATTTTGGCTTAAAAATGACACCCTAAATAGATATCATAAAGAAAACAAACTTTGGAAAACCTATAAAAATAAAACGTAGAAAGGATTTTTAAAAAGTTTCAATGAACGGAAACTATTTTTAAAGCTAATACTATCTTGACAACTTTCGACTCATACGAGATGTCAGAGAAATGTAAAGGTATAGATAGTTTCTGACAGTCTTACCACTTACAAAATAATTAAAATTCAAAACCACATACATCAATCTATTTCTGGTCTTTCAATGGTTCATGGTAACCTACCGATGTTTTTTCCCCCATGATTCTTTTCAAATAGGAGAAATATCCAGAATTTAATTTTCATTTTAAGGTGGGTCGTTTTTGTCATAGTTCTATAATACCAGGTATTATACACACTCTGCTATCATACCTAGATGAAGTAAAATATTTAAAATACTAAACTTTCACTAAAACCATGAGAAATAAGGCACATATCTATAAATAGATATAACATACCAGTATAATATTGAATAATTTTTTTTACGCAAAATTGTGAAAAATCTTAAGTATTTCATGAAGGGAATTATGCTAAATCTACACTAATCATCCTCGTATTCATACCGGAAATTCAAAACAAATATCCATACTAGCTCTTCTGAAAATAAATTTAAATTCAGAGTTGTCTCCCCTATCCTATTTCCACAAAGTGTAAAATCTAAAATACTGCTGAAAATAGAACCACACAATATTATTCCAGACATTACTTACAGACTGGCACAAAAGGTCATGTCCAGTCTATTGATCAGGGGTACTGCTACATTCATGTTTGTAGCTAACACAAATGGGACAGAATTGATTAATGCCAAGGGGCAGATATATTGCACCTTTTTTGGAAGAAATACACAGACAATGGGTGACAATAAATAAAAACACTTTTTTGGAGAGATATACAGAAACAGGGGGTGAGGGAATAGATACATTACTCCTTTGTTTGGAGATGTACAGAGACAAGGGCAGAGAAGGGAGATAGATATTACACTATTGTTGGGAGATATACAGAGACAAGGGGTGAAGAGAAAGATATCACACTATTGTTAGGAGATATACAGAGACAAGGGGTATGAAGATAGATATTACACATTTGTTGTGAGATATACAGAGACAAGGCGTGATGACATAGATATTTCACTATTGTTGGGAGATATACAGAGACAATGGGTGAAGAGAAAGATATCACACTATTGTTAGGAGATATACAGAGACAAGGGGTATGAAGATAGATATTACACTTTTGTTGTGAGATATACAGAGACAAGGCGTGATGACATAGATATTACACTATTGTTGGGAGATATACAGAGAAAAGGGGAGAGGAGATAGATATTACACTTTTGTTGGGAGATATACAGAGACAAGGGGTGACGACATAGATATTACACTTTTGTTGGGAGATATACAGAGACAAGGGGTGACGACATAGATATTACACTATTGTTGGGAGATATACAGAGACAAGTGGTGACGACATAGATATTACACTATTGTTGGGAGATATACAGAGACAAGTGGTGACGACATAGATATTACACTATTGTTGGGAGATATACAAAGACAAGGGATGAGGAGATAGATATTACACTATTGTTGGGAGATATACAGAGACAAGGGGTGAGGAGATAGATATTACACTATTGTTAGGAGATATACAGAGACAAGGGGTATTAAGGTAGATATTACACTTTTGTTGTGAGATATACAGAGACAAGGCGTGACGACATAGATATTACACTATTGTTGGGAGATATACAGAGACAAGGGGAGAGGAGATAGATATTACACTTTTGTTGGGAGAGGGGTTGAGGGGCAGACAAATGACACCTTTAATGGGAGATATATGGAGTCAGGGGATTTGGGGTAGATATTGCACTTTTATTAGGAGATATACAGAGACAGGAAGTGAGGGGGCAGATCAATCACACCTTTGTTTTGATATATATAGAGACAAGGGAATAGATATATCATAACTTTGTTAGGAGATAAACACAGACAAGCGGCTGAAGAGAAGATAGATCTTGGCCATATACACGACAGTGAGTAAGGAGTAGATATACCTGTGTTAGGAGATATACAGAGACAAATAATGATGTAGCATAGATATTATTTATGACTACCTCATTTAGAAATATACCGAGACAGGATGTAGGATTGAATTCTTTGCTTGGAGACATACAGAGACAAAGAGTAAGGGGATAAATCAAACCTTTGTTGGGAGACATACAGAGACAATGAGAGAGGGAATATATATCATACCTTTATTGGGAGACATACAGAGACAATGATTGAGGGGATATATCATACCTTTGATGGGAGACATACAGAGACAATGAGAGAGGGGATATCTTTGTTGGGAGACATACAGAGACATCGAGTGAGGGGATATATCATACCTTTGTTGGGAGACATACAGGGCGCAAGGGGTGAGGGGGGTGGAGGGAAGGAATCGTCTGCCCCTACACTTCCGTAGTGGTTGACGTCATGGTTTGTGTAATGGTAATTTCCTGGGCTGCGACTAAGAAGATCTGGAACCTGCTGCATGCTGGGAAGACTAGGTGCTCGTCTGCCTCGTTTCAATGTATGAGCTGTAGCCATTCATAAAATATTGGAGGAAATAAAATTACTGCATGCAAACCAAAGATAAAAGATAAATAAAACAGATCTGAATACTTGAATATTATATACATATATAATTCTAGGCCGTATGTTAGTTATATCGTAATGAGGGGGTAAAAGCATACACTTAATCTATCAATTATAAAGGTTGTTTTTATTTGAGTGCAATGCAAACAATGCTTGTCTCATTAAAGTCGATAAACATATTGGAAATTAAAAACTTGATTAAAATTCAATAATAAATATCAAATATATGATAGATGACTTTCAATACAATCTTTTTATCCTCTTCTGTTGATTATTTTGAAAGTTAAATTTTGTATAATTGAATATGTTTCGAATATCATGAAGATTAAAATGAGAATGTAATTTTAATATTTCATTTATGACTTATAAGAGCATGTTTTACAAAAATCCTTTGAAATATTCTAAATAAGTTTTAAGTTTTAGTCCTAATTTTTAAACAAATTCTCAACTTTAGATAGTATTAATATCTCTGTCTAGGCAAAGAAATAAACTCAAAACATAAATACAAAAAAATCTAAACAAAAAATAGAAAAAATATGAAAACAATATTTTAAAAGCATGATGCAGTCTTACTACTTAGGTAACAAAAGGAGATACAAATCGCCAGCTTTCTTACACAATTCTATTTCACCACAATTTCAAACATATCTTAAATACTTGAACATAGTAAGAAATTGTGTTCCAAATACTATCACTGTCACTAAATAATGAAATTATCTTTTAATCCAAATTTCTTAATCATATTTTTTTTCTTTGTTTTTTTCAAAAAGAATTGTTACAAATAATTTTATCTTATATCTGTTAATTGAAAAAAAAAGACGGGGTGGGGGGAACATTTTTGTGATGAATGTTATATAATTCATCAATACGTCTTAAAACATCAGACAGCAAGATCTTGTCAGTTAATGAAAAGCTAAAATTTTCCAAAATATGATTGTGTAAGCTTACTGATTAAATAAGAAAAAGCATATTACAAAGTACATGTACTAACATACCTGAACTGTCAATAAGGACAACATTTTCTGGCGGGAAGTATCCCGGCTTAGACATCCTCCGATTATCACTAATCACAACTCCCTTCCATGCATTTTCACCCTGTTCTATAACCTGTAAATAGAGAAAACATCACATATTACATTAACAATTTATAATAGATTCACAACTGAAAATTTAAATGGATATAGGATGTTACTATATATACAAAAAACAAATGTTCAAGATATGCTGGTACCATAGCAACTTTCTTGCTCGAGGAATTCTGATCAATTTTACTAGACGTATTTTAACTGACCATAATATCTGGAAAAAGTTTGAGTTTCAGAGTTGTAGGATAAGGTTAATGTCACTGTAAGTTTTTTTTTTTTTTTTTGAGAAAGTTCTTGTCAGCACTGTAGTGCTTGTTTACATGAAGGATTTGGATCAATCTTTCATCTTATAAGGGATCATAATAATGTTTCAGATGAGGTCAAATTTCAAAGTTGTAGGGTCCAGGTCAAGGTCATGAATCTTTTTCTAGATAAAATCCTTGCCAGTGCTGTATTTGATTCATTCCTTGACAGATTTTGGTCAAACTTCATACACTTTTATTGTGTATTAATCTAGGTTGAACTCAGGAGGAAACTATATCATTTGTGATGCCTTTACATTTCCTAAGTTGTCTTACCCACAAACACAGTAAATTTGTACAGGCCTAAACAAGAGAGAGCTCAGTATGTTGTCTCCTTAACCTACTACTACAAGGATAACACATATCAAAATGACACTAATTGTTTACAGGGCTATAAACACAGAAACAAACAAATCAAGAGTGAAGGGCAGATCTGTAATGACACTCCTGAAACAAAAAATTGTTGAAAAACAATAGTAAGGGGGAATTACAGGTAGTAGAAAATAAAGTTTTCTCTCTTTTCTCAATTGAGTCCCTATATTTGCAAAGATCAATAAAGAAATCCTAAATCTTAAAATGAAATAATACAAGCCCCTTGTTGTGTAGATTTAATACCAACTTGTGATTTGCTGTTCTATTTTGTATTTGTGCTATATTGTTTCTGTTGTCTTTCCTATTTTAAGTGTCTTATTGTTTTGTTCCTGGCCTTGGGATGGAATACCAATGGGACGTATCATCAGGTTCTAACCTAGGGCCTACACATTCTGGATGGATGCTAATTGTTCTCACAATGGGAAATACCAGATAATATTTTGGCTATCCTTCCAGCAGATTCGTAACATCAAAGTTACATAATTTTTTATTATTGTAAGGCTGTAAAATATTGTCTTTGTAACAAACTGCATGAGTTTCAATAGCCTTTGTTAAGAAATCATCAAGTCATTTATGTTTTGTAATCCACACACCTAAAAAGATTATCATCCCTTTTGTGTAATGTCCGAGACTGAAAGAAAATGTCTTTGCCATATTCACAAATAGTGAGACAGAGAGATTAGGCAATAAAAAAGCCTGTCATTGACAATAGGTATCAAATTTGACAAGAAGTGCCAACCATCTAATCTCCAGACAATTCTGCTGTAGACAGTGTTCATATATATATACAATTCTCTGTGTATGTATGTGGCATAAACAAAACAGAATGTCAGAATGAATTTCTGAATGTTTAACCATCCTCTTCAATAGTAGATGTAGGAGAATCACAAGAGCCATGGTAACTATCACTTGATTGGCTGCTTTTATTCCTATAAAAGTGATCCTATCTGCCAATGTCCGTCTACTTGGATGGCTAGCTACATAAACACAAGCTTTATCTACAAAGTCTACATATTTCAGTCAACTTTTTATACACTTTAGACAGACACATGCAATTTTGATGGGCATATGCAAAAATTGAAGACGTTAATTAGATATGGCCAGTCTGGTCAAAAGTTGCCATGGTTACAAGGTGAAATACATCTTCACATATAAGGTCGATCATACTTTTACATACAAGTTTTCCTAAAACTCCATATCAATAAGGTAAGTAAATAATGGTCTGTGAGAGAACTCATTATGCCCAAATACCAAATCAAAGGTATGTGTCTTATTTCATTACATGTTTGTTCAAACTCAAGTTTCTTATTAAAGACATTATGGTCTTTTGCTATTTCTTGAATTTCTGACAAGTTCTTTAAATTTCAAGAAAATGAAAAAAAAAAACCTTTAAATGTTTGATAATTTCAGTATTATCTCTAACAAAATTTTGCCAATATAAAACTTTAAAGAAAGATGCTCCAGGGAATATTACACCATTGACATATAAGTATAATTATTACCTGGATAAGAGGATAACATGTACGTTATGTGATAAATTGTTGGCCTGAGATAGATCCTTTATTTTTTAAGTTTGAACTAGGCTACTATGTTGGTCATTATCTAAAGCAGAGTTTCAAAGACAAACTAAATTAATGGTTTCAATTCTAAGATATTACAACAATAGATTTACCAATATCGAATGAACCATGAGAAATTCTTACAAAAAATGGTGAACTTTATGTTTCAGGTACAACTTTGTATCATTAATGTTATTTACTAACTCTACAGGATATTTTCAGCGCTTTTTAGAAAGTGAATGGGATTTTCATAAAAGAATTAGGTAAAAATCCCTAAATCTTAACCCTAAGTGATCCCTGCATTTAAACTTTTTAAGAGCCAACTTTGAATCAAATGAGAATGAAATATAAGATACAGTTCCAAGAAATGATACCTGAATAGATGTAACAGGTAACTGTGTTTGTGTCATTAAACTCTAATCCAAAAGTTGCCTGTAAAGTTATTAAAATTGGAGACTTCAAGTTCAGTAGACAAATTTTATAACTAAATTTTCGAACTGCTTTTTTTCACAGGAAAGCATGTCTCACTAACACCCCTGAAATTCTGAGTAAGAAATTATAAAGGGAGACAACTTTTACACAATTTACAAGTCTCATGTGTAAGATGATAGGAGTCATTGCATTGATTGTCTTAGTTTACCTTCATATTTCAAGTAAAGACTAGAAACATTGAAAATGAATCAACATATGGTTAAACCAACAGATTCATTATAACAATTTCCATTCAGAATTACTGACCAATATAAAAAAGACAAATTCATAGCCTTATCTATAGAATAATCAATGAAAAAAAATCAAGTTAAATGCTTACCTTAGACATACATAAACTTCAACATCCTCATAAGGGATAAGTGTAAAACTAATTGGATATTTCAAAGATGGCTAAATGTGACCTTTTAACTCTGATGACCACCAAAATCTAATCAGTCGAAATGGAATGGAGATCAGAGCCAGAGCTGTTTAGTCTGATTTTTGTAATTATAGTGAATTATAAGATGCACTTAACAATATCTGACATTTAAAAGACATACAACTTGCAGTAAATTGTCAGATGTATTCTGTGTTGCTGGTGTGTTGTACTACAGAACTAGTTCACATGCAAAGAAGATTTGAAATTTTATAACATAGAGCCTCTCAAGGGCAATATTCCTCTGAAAGTGCATAAATCAATACTAGAACTGTAGCATTTAACTGCATGTTTAACAGGAAATTAGTAATAATGAAGTGTCACTATGTCGTACACAACATCCTGTGGTAGATTTGCTCAAGTTTTGTTTATTTTTTAACTGTTTTGTTGTAGATAAGTGCTACTTTAAGTACTTTAGTTACATTATTACATTAGCTGCAAGCAAGCATTACTTCTGCATGGAAAACCGTAAGAAACTTTGTAGCCTGTCAATAAATGAAACAAAATTAAATAATTTAATGAAATTACTATCCCTCTGCCTCACTCTACCCACCCCTGTCATACCCTCAAATAAAATGAGGGAAAAAAATCAACTGTTTAATTGCAAACTGACATGCAAATGCAACTTGCTACACGAAATAATTTCCTCTATCTTAATATCTCTTCAGCCAATGAAATTGCTGCCTACAAGAGTGTACACATTACCCTGTCAGGGATGTGGATATGGAGAAATAGAAGATATTTTACCGAGCTAGCCACCAAGAGAAATGGATCAATATCATCGGTCACTTGGTGTCATGCCTTTTATACATTCATTCTCATTGATCAGTGGAAACTGACCGATACAAAGTTGGGGATTAAATGACCCTTTAGGGATCATTCATCCATAGCCGGGGAAACATGAACCAATTTAGAGGTCCCGAACACAACTTAATACATTCTGTAGAGCAGGTTTAACTAGAAAGACCCCCTTGGCCTCCTAGTGTAGCCTTCAGCCACAAACATGGTCTTGTTAGCTTTTAGAGGTTACTGAAGGAAAGCTGAAAATCTAAGGGACACAAAGGACAATTTCAGATCATGTGCAATTAAATTACTCTATTTGAAGTTTGTAAATGAAGGTACAAAAATGTACTGTTTAAATATATATGTTTATTTTTGTTTTGATATTTTAATGAAACCAAATCCATGAATGAGGCAATGTAGTAATACATATATTATGTGAGCCACCAGCCTATTGAGATTTTTTCTAGAATCATAAATATATTTCAGAAGAAATATTTATCATAAATTCTTGAGGAATTCTTTCTCTTTTCTAATGTAAATCCTCGGGGGATATTTTCACTTTAGTAAATCCTTGAGAACGTTACCATTTCATTCAACATGTAAATCCTCAAAGAATGTTGTCACTTTCATAAATCCTTGAAAGATGTTTTTACAAGTAAATCCTAGTGGGATGTTGTCACTTCAGTAAATCCAACAGGAATGTTGTCACTTAAGTAAATCCTTGAAGGATGTTGTCACTTCAGTAATTCCTACAGCAATGTTGTCACTTTAGTAAAACCTTGAAAGATGTTGTCACTAAATACATCCTTTCAGGGATGTTGTCACTTCAGTAAATCCTACAGCAATGTTGTCACTTTAGTAAAACCTTGAAGGATGTTGTCACTTCAGTACATCATACAGGAATGTTGTCACTTTAGTAAAGCCTTGAAGGATGTTGACACTTAGTAAATCCTTCAGGGATGTTGTCACTTCAGTAAATCCTACAGAAATGTTGTCACTTAAGTACATCCTCAAAGGATGCTGTCACTTTAGTAAATCCTTCAGGGATGTTGTCACTTCAGTAAATCCTACAGGAATGTTGTCATTTAGTATTTCCTTG